CTTGGCCTCCTCCTTTCCATACTTTGTTAGTTTGCAGCAATCCCTCTCAGCTCTGGACTTCAGTCCCTGTCCCCTGATGAACCTAATGTAAAGCATCCCTCACCAGGTTACCAAGCTTGGTTGCAAATACTTTCTTCTCTTAATCCCAGAATAAATGGCTATAGTACATTTATACTGAGAAGCTGGAACCATCAGATGAGATTTTTTTGATCAATCTTCTGAGAAATGCACTGGGAGAAGCCTTCTGGGTATTTTTGAAGCAGAGCTTGATACTTTTGCAGTGAATTTACATGATACAGAGAACTAGTTGTGGCTGTCAAGGGATCCCTTCCTTCCCTTCCAGCCACGTGTTCCTTGATGTTATCCAAAACATTAGCAGGCCTGCTAATTTGTGCTGTCTTGTTTAATCTTGAAGCAATGTAGCCATTTACTGAAAACTGGCACGGTAATTTAGGGCCCTTAGCACCATTCTGCTGCTCTATGTTTTTTTCTTTTTTAAAAAGACACATTCTCAGGCCTATGAATTTGGAATATAAATTAAAAATTGTGGGTTAATGTGCCCTGTTGTGTGGTCTTTTGCAGGAAATGGCCCCTTTCCGGGGATTATTGACTTGTATGGAGCTGGAGGAGGACTCCCTGAATACAGGGCATGCCTGCTGGCCAACTATGGCTTTGCTGTGCTGGCTCTGGCTTTCTACGGCTATGAAGATCTCCCCAAAGAGATGAAGGAATTACACCTGGAATATTTTGAAGAAGCCGTAAACTATATGTTACAACACACCCAGGTTGGTTTGTTCATTGACAGTCGCTCACTAGAGAGAACTCTCATTAGTCAGGTCCTGTCAGACTACAGATGGGGCAGAGCTGCTGTACTTAAAGTAGCCTCGCCGTTCAAGTTGGCTGTAATTAATTTGTTTTATAACTTTAACTCCCATTACAATGGTTCTCTGGCAGATTATTCCAATTCTTCCTTTTGAACTGGCCAGGTGACACAGTGACACATAGGTCACATACTGGTAATTTCTGCTCCATTCAACCCAGTGTCATAACCAGGGTACTAGTTGCCTGGAGGCTTATTGATCTTCCAGCGGGGCTTTTAGGTTTATGCTCTGTAAAATGTCCTTCAGAACTAAATGTCCTTTTCAACCATGGAGCACATGATAACCTTCTGTGATCCAGGTCTCAAGGAAGTCCACCAGTACACATTTGTTGCTGTGTGTTGTATAAGCTGTTAAAATCACTCCAAACGTTGGTATTTGGTGAGCATGGGTTTTAGTAGCTAGTTGTGAACTTGGGGATCCTTCTAAGTCAACACCTCTTGGAAGAGAACCCTGCTTGGTTCTGCATCTCCTTCCAAGTAGCTGTGCATGACAATAACTAGAATTGCATAAGGCAACACTTGGTTTCTCTGGAGAACTCAAAATAAATACCTTCCTCAGCCTCAGAAAGATGAGTAGTTGTTAAAGGTCTTGGTTGCTTTTCAGTCGCCCTAACCCTAACTGCTTGTACCACCTCTCTGCACAAAAAACTCGAAAATTGCTTTCCCCCCACACTTTTTTTCCCCTGAGAGCAGTACCATAGCCTCCCATTAACACACCTCCACTGATACCCTCACCATGTTTTTAACACGTTGCGAAGTTTCAGCCGTATTTTCTAATTTCCCCCTTTCCATGCTTCAAAGTCAGTGGGTTTGGAGCCTATTACACTGGTGATAAGGTACAAAAGGTAAATTTTGATGCTGTCTCAGAGCCTTTTTACCCTGAGGGTCTTTGGATATTGGAGCAGTTGTGGTATTAGTTAACCTTCTTCCAATATCCTTAGAGGATTTCAGCACCCTGTAAGATCATTTAGCTTTCCTATTCTCGTTAATTTTCCTGTGTAAAAGAAAATGAAGGTAACCTCTTCTAGATTGACTCCAGAGGGCTGTACAATTTGCTTAGAAAAATGGTTTTAATAGGTTAATTTTGTAAGATACATGTTAATGAGTAAGCTACCTCAGAATACTTCCTTTTCACTGTGAGTTAGACATCGAGCATACTAGAGAAACAGGAGAGCAGCTAACGTGGAGTCTGCTACCCCATGTTAACTTCTTAATAGGGGAATCGAAGACAGTGGTTGAATGTAAGAAATACATTATCGTAACTGTTGACAGTAATATAGTCATTGCTGACTTCAAGCATTTTGCACTGAAAGAAAGCATTTGTAGAAGAGGCCTCCCCTGCCCCTTCCCCTTCTCTCTTCTTCCCTGAACTGCCTTACAAGCAAAGTGAATCTGGGGCTGCATGTCTGCATGCTTTTTGCAAGCACAGCTGTACCCTCTGCATATGCTTCAGCACTGAGCCTTGTAGCTTTGTTGGGATGATGCTGCAGTCTCAGCAGAGCTTATGATCATAAATCAAGCACGAAACAGTGCCCTAGGGTCCCTCAGTCGTGGGCCCTGCACACAGGACCTTAGATGGCTATACCTGGGGTCCAGATTCAGGACAGACACTGCTGCGAACATGGCAACATTTTAAAGAAGTGGCGTGCCGTGGTTCATTGCTTGTGGTTTCTCTTCTCTCCCCTCCAGGTTAAAGGTCCGGGGATTGGGTTGCTTGGAATCTCGAAGGGGGGTGACCTGTGCATCTCCATGGCCTCCTTCCTAAAGGGCATCACAGCTGCCACCCTTATCAACAGCTCGGTGGCAAATGTGGGCGCAGTGCTCCGCTACAAGGACATCACCATTCCACCCCTTGGTGTCAATGCAAACCACATCAAGGTCAACAAGTCTGGCATTGCTGATATTGTTGATGCACTGAACAACCCACTAGAAGGGCCTGACCACCAAAGCTTTATCCCTTTGGAGAAGGCCGAGTGTCACTTCTTGTTCATTGTTGGCCAGGATGATCGCAACTGGAAAAGTGAATTCTTTGCAGTTGAGGGGAGCAAACGTTTGCAAGCTCACGGGAAGGAAAAGCCTGAGATAGTCTGTTATCCTGGAGCAGGGCACTACATTGAACCCCCCTTTTTCCCGATGTGTGCAGCCTCAATGCACGTGCTAGTTGGCAAACCTGTGATGTGGGGAGGGGAGCCCAAGGCACACTGCGAGGCACAGATAGATGCTTGGCAGCAGATCCAAGCTTTCTTCCGCAAGCACCTCACGGGCAAGCCATCTGGAACATCCAATAAGCTGTGATGTGAGTTAGGTTACTTTACAGATGAAGATGCTGGTGTTTCAAGTTTGTTTTGTTAAATGGCTCTGAATGAGAACAAAGAACATCAGAGAATTGGGTTTCTTGGAGGATGATAGTGGGTGAGAGCATGACAGCCGCTTCCTTTTAACACCCTCCTCTAACCTCGGTTAGACGTCTTGGCTTCCTGTTGTGTGTAGTATGGGATTACAAGCTGTGGAAAAATGATGGTGGTAAGGCTGGGTCTGCTTTGAATGTGAATTTAAGTGGAAGGTAGCTCATCCAAGCTGAGAACTGGGATGAAAATTTGCCTTGGCTTTCTCAGAGGAAAGATGTTGTATGCCATTGCCCTGACCAGAGCCAGCTTTGTGCTCTAGTTTTTCTGGAAGCAGCTGTTCTCTCTTCCTGCCTCCAGTAATCTTTCTGTTCTCCCTGTGCACTTCCCTCTCCTTTGTTGCTCCTTCCTCTTCTCCCGTGTTACTGAAATGGATCTGCCTTAACACTTAATATCTAATATCTAATATTTCACTTACCAAAAGCAGCGATACTGTGCCTGCATCCTCAGATAACACATCTCCCATTTATAGACAGCAACAGCCCATAGCCTGATGCGACATTCTGGGCACACGCAATAGAAATGAGACATTTGTACAGTTTTGGAAAGTTCGTAAGCATGAAGAAACAACAGAATTGGACCCGTTGGTAGTCATGCCTGGAACTGCTCATGAGCATCTCCTCAGCAGGGCTGGATATCCCCGTGTAGGTTCACAGCACTGTTGGAGGGCAGTTTCTCCTTGCCTGTACATTCCCTTAATGCCTCCACAGCTGCCTGCTTGTAAGCTCTGCTGAAAATAGCAAGGTTGCAAAGCTGGTACGGCAGCTCCTTGAGGCATCTTTGCCTTGCCCACCGAGTGCTATGCAGGCAGGTTTGTAGGAGCTGCCGCCGTGTGTGGGGAGGCAGGCTGAGAGGGGCAGTGAGGCGGTGGCATTGCTGTGGCGGGGACTGGTCTAGGCTAGGCCCTGCAGGCTTCCGGGCTTCATTTCTGGTTTTCTGAGGAGCAGGGGGGCAGCAGGGCTCTCTCACCCCCCGTCTGGGAATTGGCAGTAATGTTTGGCACCCAAGTACGAGTTCGAAAGAAAAAGCACTGGATATTGCTCGTGGGGTGCTGATGAGTTTGCACTATTGTTTAAAAATACGGTTTTAACATGTCGGTGCCTTACAAACACAAGCTGAGTGGGTAGAGTCTAAGTTGCTGTTCGTGTTTTATGTGAATTCTATTGATGTGTTTATGCGTTTTGCACTCACTGTATTTTTTAATGGATTAAAATGAAACGTTAACTTCTACCAACGGCTCGCTGCTCCGCACGGCTTGGGGGAAGGCTGCAGGGGCGGGAGGGTGAAGCGGCGCAGAGGCGGGGAGGGGCCCGGGGGAGGCGGGGCTTCCCGCCCCCCCCCCGCGGCGTCGGCGCT